GAGTGGGTGAGTGAGTGAGTGGGTGAGTGAGTGGGTGGGTGAGTGGGTGAGTGAGTGAGTGGGTGCTTCTTCTCCTTCTTCTCCTGCTTCGTTTCCTTCTTATTTTCCTTCTTCTTCTAATTCTTCTTCTTCTTCTCCTTCTCCTTCCTCCTCCTCCTCCTCCTCCTCCTCCTCCTCCTCTACTTCCCTACCTCCTCCTCCTCCTCCCCAGTCTACCTTCCTCCTCCTCCTCCTCCTCCTCCCCTGTCTACCTTCTTCCCCCCCCTCCCTTACCTTACCTTCCTACCTACCCCCCACCCATTCTTCTGGTGAAATTAGACTTCGTTCTTATTAGAGGATTTAAATCAGCGAGCAATTGGAGGAGAATCGCCGGCCGCAAGAATTATTCAAGAGTGCGCACCTTTGCCGGTTTTGCCACGCTGGGGGCTGCTTGATTTAGGGGGTAGGGGGCAGGGGGGAGAGGAGGGGAGGCGGGAGGATGGGGTGAAGGCAGAGGGGAGAGGGAAGGGAGGCGGGAGGATGGGGTGAAGGGAGGGAGGGGTAGGGGGCAGAGGAGAGAGGGGGGAGGGGGTGGGGTGAAGGCAGAGGGGAGAGGGAAGGGAGGGTAGGGGAGGAGAGAGAGAGGGGGGAGGGGGGATAAGGGTAGCGGGGAGAGGGGGGATAAGGGTAGAGGGGGAGGGAAGGGAGGCGGGAGGATGGGGGGGAAGCAAGGCGAGCAGGGAGGGAGGGGTAGGGGTAGGAGAGAGAGAGGTGGGGGGGAGGGGGGATAAGGGTAGTCAGGGGAGGTAGGGGAGAAGGGGAGGGAGGGGTAGGGGATGAGAGAGCGTGGGGAATGGAGGGGTAGGGGGGAGAGAGAGAGGGGGGGAGTGGGTAGGAATAAGGGTAGAGGGGAGAGGGGAGGGAGGGATGGGGATGAAGTTGTGGGGAGAGGGGAGGGAGAGGTAAGGGGGGTAGTGGAGGTGGGGTGGGATGGGATGAAAGGGAGAGGTATAGCAGGGGTTGAGAGAAGGAAGGGGAGGATGGGTTTGTAGGGGATGGGGGGGTTCGTGAAATTGGGAGGAAGGGGGGGGTGTTGGTAGAAGGGGTTTGAGAGGGGGGAGGATAGAGAATGTTTTTTTTGTTGGTGGGGAAGGGGAGGGAGGGGTGTAAGTGAGGGGAGTTTTTAGGAGAGAAGGACAGTATGTGGGGGGTAAAGGGAAGGATGGTAGAATGGATTGTGGGGGGGGGGGTAAGACGGAGAGGGAGACTAATGGGGGATTGATAATGTGGGGGGAGGGGGGAAAGGGAGAGAGGAGGGAAAGGGGAGCGGCTGGATAAAAGGGTTACTCAGTGGATCCAAGAAATTCGTTATCTTGTCCAGTGTGCTTTGATAAATCGTCGTTGTTTAAAAGTGTTTCGGTTGCGTTTAGTCGCTGCGATACTGCCGAGTCTTTCTCTTTCTCTTTCTCTTTCTCTTTCTCCAACCCTCTCTCTCTCTCTCTCTCTCTCTCTCTCTCTCTCTCTCTCTCTCTCTCTCTCTCTCTCTCTCCTCTCTCTCTCTCTCTCTCTCCTCTCTCTCTCTCTCTTCTCTCTCTCTCTCTCTCTCTCTCTCTTTCTCCTCTCTCTTCTCTCTCTCTCTCTCTCTCTCTCTCTCTCTCTCCCTCTCTCTCTCTCTCTCTCTCTCTCTCTCTCTCTCTCTCTCTCTCTCTCTCTCTCTCTCTCTCTCTCTTCCCCTCTCTCTCTCTCTCTCTTCCCCCCTTCTCTCTCTCTCTCTTCTCCCTCTCTCTCTCTCCTCTCTCTCTCTCTCTCTCTCTCTCTCTCTCTCTCTCTCTCTCTCTCTCTCTCTCTCTCTCTCTCTCTCTCTCTCTCTCTCTCTCTCTCTTCTCTCTCCTCTCTCTCTCTCTCGCCCCGTGTGTGTGTAGGAATTAATCTGCGTTCGCCGGACATAAATAAAAACCTATCTGCGAAATCTGACGGCGCAGAGATTGGGGAGTCAGGAGATTGAATTTTGAACCATTTTCCCCTCCCCCCGTCTCTCTCTCTCTCTCTCTCTTTCTTTCTTTCTTTTTCTTTCTTTCTCTCTCTTTCTCTCTCTCCCTCTTTCTTTCTCTCTTTCTTTCTCTCTCTCTCTCTCTCTCTCTCTCCTCTCTCTCTCTCTCTCTCTCTCTCTCTCTCTCTCTCTCTCTCTCTCCTACTCTTTCCTCTCTTTCTTTCTTTCTTTCTTTCTCCTTTCTTTTCTTGTTGTTCTTTTTCTTTTCTTTACATTTTTTGCAACGTATCTGTCTGAAGCTGCATGTGCAAACGTTGCAGCGTTCGTCATAATTGATTTGTTCTAGAAATGTGTTCAAGTTAAACGACTCCTGTAAAGATATTGTAGGGGGGGGGGGGCAAGAAAGGGATAAAAAAAAAAGATCTACAGTAACAAAAAGCGAGGACCTGACGTTGGCAATATCGCGCGCAGCCATCGAGGCAATAATTACAACATATTCAACCTCCTATGATCTATGAGGATGACCAAAGCGGCGCGCTCTCACTCTCTCTCTCCTCCTTCCTTCCTTCCTTCTTCCCTCCCCCCTCCCCCCTCCCCCCTCCTTCTCTCCTTCTCTTCTTCCCTCCTTCTCTCCTTCTCTTTCTCTCTTCTTCCATCCCACCTCCCTCTCTTCCTCTCTCACTCCCTCCCTCTCTTCCTCCCTCACTCCCTCCCTCTCCTCCTCCCTCACTCCCTCCCTCTCCTCCTCCCTCACTCCCTCCCTCTCTTCCTCCCCCCTTTCTTCGCTTCCTCTCTCTCTTCCTCCCTCCCTCCCTTCCTCCGGCCCTCCCCCCTTTCCTTGATTATCGCTCTCCCTCGCCTTCCCCTGCCTCATAGCAGAAGCGGACGAACCCGGGAGAAACTACACCAATACATTTCTACCTCCTTCACCTAATTATTAGTATGTTCCTTTTCTCTCTCTGTCTCTCTCTTTCTCTTTCTCTTTCTTCTCTCTCTCTCTCTCTCTCTCTCTCTCTCTCTCTCTCTCTCTCTCTCTCTCTCTCTCTCTCTCTCTCTCTCTCTCTCTCTCTCTCTCTTTCTCTCTCTCACACCCTCCCTCACTCTCTCCCTCCCTCTCTCCCCTCCCTCCCTCCCTCCCTCCCTCCCTCCCTTCCTCTCTCTCCCTCTCTCTCCCTCTCTCTCTCCCTCTCTCTCTCCCTCTCTCTCTCCCCCTCTCTCCCCCTCTCTCTCCTCTCTCTCTCTCTCTCTCTCTCTCTCTCTCTCTCTCTCTCTCTCTCTCTCTCTCTCTCTCTCTCTCTTATTTCTCACTTAATCAAGGGTCCCCCCCACCTCTCCCCTCCCTCGCCCCGCCCACGCAACACCCCCCCTCCCCCCCTCCCCACGCCCTCCGCGCAATGAAGGATGCCCCGACAGACGCCCAAATGGCATCTGGCTTGTAGTGTTTTGTTCCAGGCGCCCAGATCTATTGGCCCATTAATAGTTGCTTGAAGATGGAGGGAGGGCGGGAGGGAGGGTGGCTGGGTGGGGGGGAGGGGGGGATGGAAAGAAGGAAAGAAGGAAGAAAGGTGGAGAGGGAGGATAGAGGGTGGAGAGGAAGGAAGGGGGAGGGGTTAGGAGAAAGGAGGGAGGGAGGGTGGGAGGGAGGAAAGGAGAGAGAGTTAGGAAAGGAGGGAGAGAAAGAGAGTAAAAAAAAAAAAATATGAAACCCGCAAATGCAAAATGCAGCTCATTTAGGTATCGCGTGCATGGCATTGTCTCGGCATGCATGATGTATGACTCAAGGAAGATATCACCCGCTTCGAGATGTCGTGTCAACTGATTGTGTCACACGGACTCCCTGAATGTCACAATTTGGTCGTTAGTGTTAGTCGCCGTACTGGTTTACAGCCTCTTCTTCTGCTTCTTTCTTCTTCTTTCTTCTTCTTCTTCTTCTTCTTCTTCTTCTTCTTCTGCTTCTTCTTCTGCTTCTTTCTTCTTCTTCTTCTGCTTTTTCTTTCTTTTTCTTCTTCTTCTTCTTCTGCTTCTTTCTTCTTCTTCTTTTGGAAGGGGGTAATATGTTTAAAAACGGTGGATGGGAGGGGTGGGGGAGGAGAGGATAAGGGATGTGGGGAATGAGTTTAAGTGGAGGGAAGTGGAGGGAAGTGGAGGGAACTCTCTAGCTAAAGGGAAGGAAAGGGGGGGGGAGTTGCCGTCGGGGAGGAGAGTGGAGGGAAGTCGCTGGACGAGACATATAACGGATGGGAATGGAGGGCGATTGCTCGATCGGGGAGGGGGGGGGTGTAGGGGGAGAGGGGAGAGAATGCGGGAAGGGGGGGGGCGGCATATCGCATCTTTATCTATTGTCTTATGAGGAAAACTTCCTCCCTTGTTCCGGCTGCAGACAAAACTTCTGTCGCAGGGAGATTAGGCTATCGTGTATCGGTCAGTATTTCACGTCCGTCCCGCTGTTGTTTTGTGGCTGGGCCTCTCGCGGGCGACCGTTTGCTTTGGAATCATATTTTTAAGGGAGGGGGGGAGGGGATGAGTGGGGGGAGGGAGTGGGGAAAGGGGAGTGGTGAGGGGACGGGACGGACGGGGGAAAGGGGAGTGGTGAGGGGACGGGACGGGGGAAAGGGGAGTGGTGAGGGGACGGGACGGGGGGGGAGGGAAGGGAGGGTAGGGCGAGAGGAGAAGGAAAGGGAGGGGGGGGGGGGAAGAAGAGTATTTTATTGTTGGCCCGTTGATGAGTTACTTTGCTCGGCTTTTTTTGTCTGTACTTCTGTATGTGATAATGCTGCTGTGGTGTCTGTTTGTTTACTTTTCCTCTTCTCAGTGTCGTGGTGCGATTTGTACGACGACGACGATTACGATGGTGATGGTAGTGATTTTGAATAATTTAGTATGTAAATAACATCAACAGCAACAACACGAAAACACGAACAGCAACATACACAACCACCCAATACAACAAATAGAGCAAAAACACCAACACGAAAGACCCCCCCCCCCCCCCTAAACAGGAGCCTCCACTAACTCCCTCTCCCCCTTGCAGAGCGGCCGCGCTACCGGACGGCGTACGCGTGCGAAGGCTCCATCCTCAGCATGGAGTGCGACCCGGATCACGTGATCAACCTCATCCGGGCCAACTACGGCCGCTTCAGCATCACCATCTGCAACGAGCATGGCAACACCGAGTGGTCCGTCAATTGCATGAGTCCCCGGTCGCATCGCGTCCTGCACGATAAGTAAGTTGGAGTGTTGTTTCGTTTTTCTTTTTTGTTTTTTTCTTTTTTTCTTTTCTTCTTTTTTTCTTTCTTTTCTTTTTTCTTTTTCTTTAGCTTGTTTTTGCTCTCCTGGAATTGCTTTTTTGCTTTCTTCTTGTTGTTCTTCTATTTAGCTTCTTTTCTTGTGTGTTTTGTTTTTATTTTATTATTTTTTTTCTGTTAGATATTGGACTTTTCTTCTTCCTCTTCGCCATCTTCTTTTTCTTCCTCTTCGCCATCTTCTCCTTTTTCTTCCTCTTCGTCATCGTCTTTTTTGTCTACGTCTTATTTTTTTCCGTGAATGTGTCCGCGCGAGCGCCCGCACACGCAGTCATATTTGCAGATACTCGTCGCGCACACAGTCTTCTCAAGCAAATGTGTGCATACACTCGTACAGACACACAGGTAAATATGCTTACCTGTGCACAGGACGCACGTTAAGGAGGTGGTGTGTGTGTGTGTGTGTGTGTGTGTGTGTGTGTGTGTGTGTGTGTGTGTGTGTGTGTGTGTGTGTGTGTGTGTGTGTGTGTGTGTGTGTGTGTGTGTTTCATACTTTCTCCCCCCATCCTTTCTCCTCTAATTCCCTCCACACACCCCTCTCCCTCTCTCCCCATCCCTTCCCTCCCCTCTCTCCCCTTCCCCTCCCTCCCCTCCGTACCTCATTCCCCCTCCCTTCTCTCCGTCCCCCCTCTCCCTTCCCCTCCCTTCCCCTTTCCCCTCCCTTCCCCTTTCCCCTCCCTGCCCTCTGTCCTCCCCCCTCCCTTCTCTCCCTCCCTCCCCTTCCCCTCTTCCCCCGCCGGCGCTTATCAGGCCTCGGCGTCCCTCCCCCCAGGTGCCACCCATCACCTGGCAGTGCCCCTCCGCCGTCATAATCCTGTGATACATTGCCATACCCTGGACGAGCTCTTAGGGGAGGGGAAGGGGGGGAAGGGGAGGGGAGGAGATGAGGGTGATTTACGCTTGGTATCGCTGTAAATTATTTCTCCTTTGGCGGCAGCGATGGAGGGAGGGAGGGAGGGAGAAGGAGGGAGGGAGGGAGAAGGAGGGAGGGAGGGAGAAGGAGGGAGGGAGGGAGAAGGAGGGAGGGAGGGAGGGAAGGAGGGAGGGAGGGAAGGAGGGAGGGAGGGAAGGAGGGAGGGAGGGAGGGAAGGAGGGAGGGAGGGAGGGAAGGAGGGAAGGAGGAGGGAATTGAGGAATGGGAAGGAGTTTGTGGGGAAGGGCGTTGGGGAAGAGAGGAAAAGGGGGTGGGGGTTAATAGGAAAGAGGGGAGAGGAAGGGGGGGAGGAGAGAGGAAGAAGGATAGGAAGGGGGAACTAGGATAGCATGGGGGTGAAGGTAAGGGGGGGGGGGGGGGTTTCAGGGGTCACTGCCTTCACTATCTTTCACTCTTACTCCTACGCACACTCCCTTGCCGTTCCTTGTATGGACTTGGATAGGCTTCTTGTTTTCTGTTTTTCTCATTTCTTTTATATGTTTTCCGTTTTTTTTTCTCGCTATCTATCTCTTCATCTATCTGTTTTTTCTCTCTCCGTCCATCCCTCCCTCCTTTCTCCCTCTCTCCCTCCCTCCCTTCCCCTCTTCCCCCGCCGGCGCTTATTAGCGCCTCGGCGTCCCTCCCCCCAGGTGCCACCCATCACCTGGCAGTGCCCCTCCGCCGTCATAATCCTGTGATACATTGCCATACCCTGGAGGAGCTCTAGGGGAGGGGAAGGGGGGGAAGGGGAGGGGAGGAGATGAGGGTGATTTACGCTTGGTATCGCTGTAAATTATTTCTCCTTTGGCGGCAGCGATGGAGGGAGGGAGGGAGAGGGAGGGAGAAGGAGGGAGGGAGGGACGAAGGAGGGAGGGAGGGAGAAGGAGGGAAGGAGGGAGAAGGAGGGAAGGAGGGAGGGAAGGAGGGAGGGAGGGAAGGAGGGAGGGAGGGGAAGGAGGGAGGGAGGGAGGGAAGGAGGGAGGGAGGGAGGGAAGGAGGGAAGGAGGAGGGAATTGAGGAATGGGAAGGAGTTTGTGGGGAAGGGCGTTGGGGAAGAGAGGAAAAGGGGGTGGGGGTTAATAGGAAAGAGGGGAGAGGAAGGGGGGGGAGGGAGAGAGGAAGAAGGATAAGGAAGGGGAACTAGGATAGCATGGGGGTGAAGGTAAGGGGGGGGGGGGGGTTTCAGGGTGTCACTGCCTTCACTATCTTTCACTCTTACTCCTACGCACACTCCCTTGCCGTTCCTTGTATGGACTTGGATAGGCTTCTTGTTTTCTGTTCTCTTCTCATTTCTTTTATATGTTTTCCGTTTTTTTTTCTCGCTATCTATCTCTTCATCTATCTGTTTTTTCTCTCTCCGTCCATCCCTCCCTCCCTTTCTCCCTCTCTCCCTCCCTCCTTCCCCCTCCTTCCGTCACTACTACCCCTTCTCGCCCCTCTCCCCCCCTTCCCGCCCCTCTCCCCCCCCCTTCCCTCCTAACCCCCTTCCCTCATCTCACTCCTTCTGCCCCCCCCCCCCACCTCCCTCTTCCGCCCCATACCGTTCATTTTGTTAGCTTTTCATTATCGTGTCTAAGAGTCTCTGAAGAGGAGAGGGGTGTACACGGATCAAAAGTCCCCCCCCCCCACCCACCCATAACCACACCCCCCCCCTCTCCGCCTCCCCTTCCCTCCACCCGGAAAGAAAAAGGGGGCCCATTTTGAGCCTTAAACCGGAGAGCCATAGAGGTTGTTTCCCCGTGGTTCTCATTCCCCTCCTCCCCTTCCCCTTCCCCCTCCCCCCACCCCTCCACCCAGTATGGAATGAGCCTGTTGATTATGGTCGTTGGAATTGGAAGCGGCCGGGGGGGGGGGGGGCGGTTCCGTTGTCGAAGCGAAACCTCGTGTATATATATATATATATTGAGTGGGGGTCGAGGGAGGGAAGGAGGAGGGAAGGGCGAAGGAGGGAGGGAGGGAGGGAGGGACGAACGGAGGGAGGGTGGGTTGGTTGGTTGGTTGTGGGGGAGGGTAGGAGGAAGGAGGGGAGGGTGTGTGTGTGTGTGTGTGTGTGTGTGTGTGTGTGTGTGTGTGTGTGTGTGTGTGTGCGTGTGTGCGTGCGTCGTTAGTGTTGGTTGTTGAACATAGTTGTGGATTGGTGGGGCATTATGCTTGTATCTTTGACTTCCTTTTGTTTCACACTCTCACTGTTGTTGTATCTATTTTCGCTCCCCCCCCCCCCCCCTCTCTCTCTCTCTCTCTCTCTCTCTCTCTCTCTCTCTCTCTCTCTCTCTCTCTCTCTCTCTCTCTCTCTCTCTCTCTCTCTCTCTCTCTCACTCTCCCCCCCCCAACTCCCACCCCGAGGCCGCCAAATGAATGATTAAAATCTCTTATCAAGTTTAGGGAAATTCCCCCCCCTTTAGCTTTCCCTAACAAAAAGAAAAAAAAAAAAAAAAAAAACAAGATGACCACTGTATGACATTTTTCCCTCTACGGACGCTTGTCATACGACTGAAAATTGAAAAAAAAGAGAGACAAAAAAAAAAAAAAAAAAGGAAAATGCCTGGAGGGTTATTTAATTACTGTAGCCGCCTGGAGCATTTGGGACGATTATTGGTAAGATCAAAGGCGATGCAAAGGGCAGGAGGGGGGGAGGGGAAGAGGGCAGGAGGGGGGAGGGGGGAGAGAGGGCAGGAGGGGGGAGGGGGGGAGAGAGGGCAGGGGAGGGGAGGGTGATGGAGGACAAGGGAGGGGAGGGGGAGGGAGGGCAGGGGAGGGGAGGGAAGATAAAGGTGGGTAGGGGAGGGAAGGGGAGGGGATAGAAGGGGAGGGAAGAAAGGGGAGGAGAGAGAGAGAGAGAGAGAGAGAGAGAGAGAGAGAGAGAGAGAGAGAGAGAGAGAGAGAGAGAGAGAGAGAGAGAGAGAGAGAGAGGGTAGGGTGAAGGAAGACAGGGTAAGGGAAGGAAGGTAAGGAAGGTAAGAGAGGGAAGGTTGGATAGGGTAAAGGTGGAAAGGATAGGGTAAGATAGGGTAGGTTGAGGGAGAGCTGAAGAGGGTAAGGTAAAGGTGAGTAGGGTAGAGTGAGGGAGGGTAAGGGTAGGGTAAGGAAATGTAAGGTAAAGTGAGGTAAGGTAGGGAAAGGAGAGGGTAGGATGGGGATAGGTAGGGGTAAGGTGGGTAAGGGAGGAGTAGGGGACACGCTGACAAACACAGGTTTTGTTGGAGGACGATTTTATTAGCGACATATGAGGGGGGAAGGGGAGGAGGAGATTGGGCCATAGGCGGAGGGGGGGGGGGAGAAATAGGGTTGCAGTGTTCGGTCTTTCGGTCTCTCTCTCTCTCTCTCTCTCTCTCTCTCTCTCTCTCTCTCTCTCTCTCTCTCTCTCTCTCTCTCTCTCTCTCTCTCTCTCTCTCTCTCTCTCTCATCTTCTTTTCTTCTACTTTTATTCCTCTTCACCCCCCCCCTCTCACTCCCACTCCCTCTTTCCCTTCTTTTCTTCTCCTTCTTCTTCTTCTTCTTCTTCTTCTTCTTCTTCTTCTTTTTCGTCTACGTCCTCCTCCTCCTCATTTTTTACGCATTTGCAGCGGAGAGAAAATGTATGCAAGGCCCCGTGGCTGCATTGCTCATCAAGTGAAAACAGATAAACAGCAGATCCTACAGGACTTGCTACAAGGCTTCTTAACGTCTCGCCTTTCTTATCTTTCTCTCTCTCTCCCTCCCTCCCTCCCTCCCTCCCTCCCTCCCTCCCTCCCTCCCTCCCTCCCTCCCTCCCTCCCTCCACCCTCTCTCTCTATCTATCTATCTAAATATATATATATATATATATATATATATATATATATATATATATATATATATATATATATATATATATATATATATACACATATATGGGTGTTTGTGTATGTACGCATGCTTTTATATACGCACACATATTTTTCCTCCCTTCCTTGTGATTCTTTGATTCACAGCAAACAAATCCGGGAGATTACGCGGATTTTCTCTCCTCTGGGATTGATTCAAGGCGCCA